GTTCAAACCCTCCAGGCACTCCTCAGAAGGAAGACTGGGCAGTCTACTTCCAGTAGAGGTAGTAGTAATATTTCCTGCAGTAGAGTTACCACCTTGGAAACCTAAGGAGGGATCGCTATGAGTCGAAATTGACGGCAGTAAGTTAGAAACTAAGCATTTTAGAAAAATCATCCTGCTAACAGTATAGAATAATGAGAAAGGAAGCAGGGGAGATAGGCAAATAAATCAAGAGACCATTGCAGTATGCAGGAAGTATGAAAGGGCTGGACGGAATCACTGACTATGGAGAAAGAGAGTGGGATGTGATGTCAGAGAACCTAATGACTTAGGCACTGACTCTGTGGAAGGTGAGGGAAAATCAAGGATGATTTCCAGTTTTCTGGCATGGGCAAATAGATGAATCACTATTCAAGGTTTCCTTGAGGAAGTAAATATTAGGGGAAAGGTAACTTTAGTTCTGAACTTACTGATCAGAAGAGTTTACAGTTGAAGCAACAGCAGCACAGAAGGAAAATGAAGAGAAGAGACCCTGGGTACTCCTGCACAGCGTAGCCATGAAGGTAGAAGAGAGCCCAGAGAGTGTAGCAGATGACACACAGGAAATGGCTGGACGCAGGCAAAGAACTGAGACAAAATGGTTTTCCAGAATCAAAGAAAGGAGAATGAATAACAGAGGAATGAATCAATCTGCTGAATTTGATCATTTGAGGTTCTTGGTGACCTTAAATTCCACTTTAGTGTTATGAGAGAGAAAAGATTTTTGTAGCCATTTTAAGAGTTAATGGCTGAAGTATATATATGCACAGTAGTAGCAGTTGTGTGCTATTTTTGAAGGAGTTGAGCTTTTAATAAGTGTAAGGAAGTTGTGAAATCAGAGTGAGAGTTTTTGTTTGTTATTTGCTGTTTGTTTTTGTACTAAATTAGAAGGGTCTTTGTTTATAGCTAAAGGTCCCTGGGTGGTGCAAACAGTTTGGTCTTGGCTACTAACCTAAAGGTTGGAGGTTCAGGTCTACCCAATGATGCTGTGGAAGAAAGGCCTGGAAAACCCGATGGAGTGCAGTTCTACTCTGAAATATATGGGTTTGCCATGAGTTGGTATCAACTCAGTGGAAACAGGTTTGGTTTATGCTTACAGTCTATGAGGAACTAGCTGGTAGAAATTTGAAAGTATAATTTGGAAGCGCCTTAACGATATTCCCAAGGGAGTGAATAAAGGGGTTATTCTTGAATAGAAGGTACCTCTTTCTCTGACACTAGAAGAAAGGAGATGAAGGTAAATGAAAGGAGTTCAGAGAGTTCAAGACCAAATTTTCCCTGTGAAGTAAGTAAATGTGCTAAGAGAGACCAGAAGGTAAAAGTTTGGGGAAAACCAGGATGCAAGTAAGTAAATTGTTTTTCCCTGAAGAACATGACTGGGTAAATGATTTGAACAAATACTGCATCTTATTTCAGTTTTATGAGGAGGAATCAAAAATGATTTAAAAAAAAAATCAGAGGCTCAAAAATTTGACTAAATATTATAAAAGAAAACTTCTTCATGGCTGATCCAAATTGGAATTCTAGTTTTAGCTCAGGCAGTAGTGACGAAGTGAATTTTCACGAGGAGTGGGAATTTTCTGGCATCTTCACGGAGTTCCTTCCTGGTCTCTTACTTCACTGCCCCAGCTCATAGAAAATCATTGCAAGCCTAGAGATCTCATCTGAATTCTTGTTTACGATGCCAGAGGCTCCTTATTTCTCAGATTTTGTAACCAAGAAATTACGTAAATAAAAGCTGCTTTTAGAATTTATATTATGAAAATGTTAACATACCTGACTTTAGATACCTCGACTTTGACTTTGGCTCAAGTTTTCTGTTTTTGTTCTTTAACACTAGAATTTTAATTTTTGCAACAGACATGATTTGCAACGCAGTATTTCCTGAGTATTATTATTTTTGCAATGAAGCCTTCAAATTAAAGAACTATCTGTATTATTGTTCAGAATTAATGGGAAAAAGTAGAAAGAGGGTGAAGAAATGAACATTTAAAATTATAAACAGCATCACCATTTTTTCAGTTAAAATTTTAAACCAATTTGAACTAGCTTTTCATCTTAACACTTCAAAAACTGTTCCATTTCAGGTGACTGTGGCAAATACCTAAAATGATTAGATTTGCAAGTATATATGGAACTAAGGGTTATCTCTCTCTCAAAGCTTTTGAAATGTAATCACTAAACGGGAAACTGATGGTTAATTTGTCTGGCCTGCACAATCAACTTTATGCTGGGACAATGACTTTAATAGGAAAATTAACCTCCTGTTAGAGAGTTAATGTTTGCGTAATTTGCATAAAGCTGCTATACCCTAAAGAAGGAGGGAAAACAGTTTTGTGGTTACACTGGCAGAAATTCTGGGTGATATTTTTCTTCTTTTTCCCAATTACAAATTTTTATTAAATTTTTATGCTTTCAGTGTTCCCCAATATGGAGCTATTAAACTGACATTGGCAGACTGTGGTTTTGGCATGAAGCAAGCAGAAATGTGTGTTGTGAAAAGAGGGTAGATTGGTGTAGGGGAGACTATCTTAGCCAACCTTTCTGTTGTTGTAAAATTATTAAGCAATTCTTTTCCACAGCATATATTTCAAAAATAGATATTGCTTCACTCTATTTAATGGTGATTATTATTTTTCTTCCTCTAAATGAAGTGGTGATTATGTGTAAGTTTTAGAAATACTTTGAGTTCTAATTTAAAATTGAGATAATATGAACAGTTATTCCAAAACTGTAAAATGAATTTATCTTCTCTGTTATGTTGCCACTCGTCACTTTATGGAAATATGAACAGTCTCCGAAGAAATGTGTCCAGAAACAGTGGAAGTATAAAAATACATAGGAAGACCATGTAATTTTAGATAATAGATTTTTTAAAAAAATTTAAAAACCAGGATTTTATCTAAAAAAAAAAAAGTTACATTCTGTTTCAACAGAGGCATTTAAGTATTTTATTCTAGTCTTGTTTTTGAAGAGGAAGACTAAAAGGCAAGTTGTGTGTATATGTGTCCCGTTTTGTTTTTTTTTTTCCGTGTCTCCTGCATACACCTGTTCTATTGTTCCAGATTTCAAAATGCATTGTTTGACATATAGGATGCAAATTTTTAAGAACACAGAAGTAAAACTGAAAAATGATTCTAAAAAGAGAAGTGGATTAATTAGTTAAGTGATAAATATGTCATTTTATATATAGCACTTCCACTTAAAAGCTTAGCACTCAGAAAAACTTACATCATATTGTTGTTGTTGCTGCATTAAATATTCCAAATTATCCTTACTTCTAATGAAGTATAATAACAACTAGTATTTATATAGCACATTATTTCTAGAGAACTTTTTGGTTTTCCTTTGGCTATCTGACCTATTTATTCTATTTCTTACTGAATATTTATGCTTTATAGTTAGCGCTGGGAGTAGCAGTTTGTCACCCCAGTTCATCTTCCTGCTCCTCTGGCACATTCCCAGTGAAGTAACTAAAAGTGGGAACTGAAGCTCAAAGACATGAAGTTACTTCCTCCTTATTTCAGATAGTAATATAAATAATCAAAATCAATGTGGGGCAGTATTTAATAATGGCTCCTAACAGAATTTTTAAAGCTGGATAATTTTTTTAACACTGATGTATTTGACTCCACCTAATTAATCACAACACAACAACAATTAGTCTTTTAAATATTTCAAGAGAGGGCATCATTTACTGAGTTTATATAAGTTCGAACTGTATTACTATGTTCTTAATTATTTGACTTTATCCCAAAATTTGCAAAAATGCTTTGTACTCTGATAAAAACAAGATCATAAAAACACTTGCTACCACTGTTTGAAAGAACCATTTACAAACATTATGCAAATAATGAGTCAGATAAAAGGGCAGGTAACCGCAGCCCACCACTATCATACACAGAAGATCAAAAGGGAATTTTAAAATGCAAACACAGTGATAGTGCTCTTTGTAGTTTTTATTACTTGAAAAATAGGAGGAGAACATTGTCATATACTAGTACATGTACATAATAAACTATCATTTAACATTTTGTTAACTCAGATTATATTTTTGTAATAGATTAGAAAATTACACTTCCAATTTTTTCAAATTTAGAGCATGTTGGGATTCTTGAAAGTGATTTTTAAAAATCATAAAGATACAATGAATGATTTATAATAACAGGCAAGAGATTAGATCATTCCTGAAATCTGAGTTACAAGATGAATTTACTGATCAACATTTAGAATGTTCTTGTGTGAACTATTCTTTGTTTCCCTACAATAGCTGAAGTAATAATGTTACACTCACTCATTTCTGTGAGACCATTGTACTCAGACAATCATAGGTTTTATGTGTTGGAAAACATATACGCTTACAGAAATTTTGCTTGATCATTATTTTAATGCTGTTTTTAAACTGTGTCTTAAGAATAAGATCTTTTGATATAGTGGAAACTACTCACAGAATTCACATGGAAAGCTAGGTTACAGCTGTGTTATCTGTGTCACCACAATGTATGTAAACATTATATTACAGGTGTTTTCTATGCACTCTCTGAAAAGGAAGTACCTGCTATTTCACTACAGTGTTAAAGAAATGTAGGTGTGAAATATTTTAACTCTTTCGTGATTGAAAGCAGCTGATGGGTCACTTCTATTTTTTGCATTTCTTTGTGTAATTTAAAACTGACCACTGTTTCAAGTTATTAATAATGTCAGCTCCATGATAAGCAGACTGTTACAGCCAAACAGATTTACTTTCATGTAGTTGTGCTTTGATCACCACTGTATTCCTTCCTTAATGAAAAACTGTTCTGTTTTGTACCTTAAAAATCAACAGTATAAATAATTTCTACCCCTTTTGATGTACCATGTGCCCTGATTACATTGTAGAGTAAGCAGATACTTCTCAGCCAGTTTTTGCATTCAGTAACCCAGGAAATTGCCCTTTAGTTTCTGATTTGCCTTTCTTCTTACAGGTCAACAAAAATCTCTCCTTTTCTTCAACTTCAGCCTCCTCCCAACAGCCCAAGTTAAAACAATCAAACATGCTGTCCGCTAACGAGATTCTGCGTCCGTTTGGTTTCACTCAGACTGGTGAGCCTCTTTCTTAAAATTTTTATTATTCTTTTAAATGCTCAAATGCTATTTTTTAAAAAAGAATGTAATTTCTTTTCACTCCAGCACTAAGTGTATAGCATTGAAATGGTCAGTTTTTACACTTGATGAATTACATTCTGTTAGCTCTTTTTGTCTTTAAAATCACAAAAGTTATTTCAGGATTTGAGTTTGGTAACTTTAACAGTAGATACTTTCAATTTATATTCTGTTGAACAGTTAATAATTTAAAAGTATTCTTAAACATGTGTAACATTAAATCTTACTTAATTTCCCAGTTGGATAAAGGAATCATAGTTTATGGATAGTTCTATTTTATCATTCATTTCAAAGAAAGCCAGTATAAAGTGCTTTTTGGCTGAAACAGGACGCAACTTGCAGCAATATCTTGTCCTTCAAAGTTGACAAATTAATATGCAAAGAAACTACTTATAAAAATCTTCTTTTATTTTATTATCTTTTATTATTTTTATTTATTCAATTCAATGTCGCTGAATTGAAATGAACTGTACAATTGCAAATTTTTAGGCTAATGCTTGAAATGAATTTGAATAAGATTTTCAAAGGATATCAAAGAAAAAATAAGTACAAACGTTTAGTTTTGGTATTGAAAGATGACTTTTCTGCTTACTAGTTACATATATTTGGCAGTATTTTTTCTGTTACTGAATTATTTTAGAAGAATGAAATAGCTAATAACAAAACAATTGTCTGACAAAAAGATTACATGAAGAAGAAACTTGAAAAGGCCAACATAATTTACTTAGACATTTGGAAGCAATATAACTTTTCTACTTCGCAAGTGCTTGGTGTATACACACGCAAGTTATTTTAGTCTTGCTGTATAGATTACATGTTACATATGGAAAAGATACATGACTTGGATTCAGAGCTCTAATGTTCAGTCCTGACTATGCCTTTTATTATCTTTATTACTTACAAAGCTTAGAATAGTCATTTGAAAACTGGGAATCATGGCTACATTATATATTTTTGAAGCCCAAGTGAAATACCATACATGAAAACTCTTTGTAAACCATAATCTATTATATGAATGTAGCAAACCTAGACTGTTAATAATATGCAAGACATTTAAATTTTTAATTTAAATGCCTTATATTTAAAATTTCTGGTGTTCTGTATGTCTGCCAGAAGTTGGAATGGTATCGTTGGTCTTTGCATAAACCATGCACTACCCTCCTTAGACTCTCTAAATAGATATTTGGTTTGCCTTCAGACTTTATCCTTGTAATGGCTAGGAGAAGGGGAACTGCCTGTCACCACTCCATCTCTACTACCTCTTTCTGCTGAGGTTTAAAATTTCAGAGAACAAACCTTTCATTCCTCATATCCGGATTGAAGGCTTAAAATGTAAATGTCTGGTTGAGTTGATACATTAATTAAAATTCAGTCAAATAATGTCTTAGGACTGTTAGCCAACAAGGTGTAGCTATATAAGAGATATAAAATTCTTTCATTTTCTGTAAAGGGAAAGAGTAGAGAGGCTAAATAGGGAAGGCCTTTGAAATGGAAAGAGAGATTATCAGAGAGGCAGATTAGCAATACAGATAAAGAATAAAGGGAAAACAGGATATGATAAGGGCAAGCCTTGCAAATTTCACAATTGTGACTAGGATTGGCTTCATTTACTTAGAGCTTTCCATGGCCAGATAGGCCAGAGTGGGGAATTTCTTTTGAGTCCTAGTGGCACAGTGGTTAAATCACTCAACTGCTAACCAAAACGTCTATAGCTTGAACCCACCAGCCACTGGGGTGGGAAAAGATGTGGCAGTCTTTGTCATAGAGATTGCAGCCTTGGAAACCCTATAGGACAGTTCTACTCAGTTCTGTAGGGTTGATATGAGTAGGATTCAACTCATTGGCAACAAGTTTTTGTCCATTGATGTGTGCACTATCTATGAAGCATCACCATTAAGCCATATGAAACATAGTAGTATTGCTGAAAGTGAAGAGTACTTGAAGCACTTACTGATGAAGATCCCAGATTGATTGATATATTTGAATTACGATGTTGGTGAAGAATATTGAATATACCATGGACAGTCAGAAGAATGCTCTGGTGGCGTAGGGTGTTAAGGCACTTGACTCCTAACCAAAAGGCTGATGGTTCAAACCCACCAGCCACTCCTTGGAAGGAAGGTTGGGCAATCTACCTCCGTAGTGTACCGCCTCGGGAACCCAAGGAGGGGTCGCTGTAAGTCAGATCTGACATCACAGCAGTGAGTTTGGGTTTTTTTGGTTAAAGTTTAAGAGCAGGGATTGAGATATAGGTATACATATAACCAAAACCAAACCCACTGCCACTGAGTTGATTCCAACGCATAGTGACCCCCCCAGTGGGTTTCTGAGGCAGTAAGTCTTTACGGAAGTACATTGCTTGGTCTTCCTCCATGGAGTGGCTGGTGAGTTTGAACCACCAGCCTTCTGGTTAGCAATCAAATGCCTTAGGCACAGTACCACCAGAGCTCCTTGGTATACATATAGTGTACATATTTGCTGCGGTTGTTGTGAGGTGTGGTCACATCAGCTCCGACACATAGTGGCCCTGTGGACGACAGAATGAAACACTTCTTGGTCATGTGTCATCCTCACATTCCTTGGTATACTTGAGCCCATCATTCAGCCACTACTTACGGATACAGATAACTTTTTTTTTTTTTAGTAAAAACTACTTTGTTAAAGGCTGTCTCCTAGGGATATGGACTAAATATTGCAATCCATAAAATAAAATGAATCCTTTTATTAATAGGAATTTACTTATGTAATGCTCGTGTCAGGAGCTGGTAGCATAGCATCTAAGGCACTTGACTGCTCACCAGAAGGCCGGTGGTTCAAACCCACCAGCCACTCCTTGGAAGGAAGGTTGGGCAATCTACTTCCACAGTGATACCGCCTCAGAAACCAAGGAGGGGTCGCTATGAGTCAGGTCCGACTCGACAGCATATAGCAACAACAACAATCTTCACGTCAACATTTTTTTTAACGGTAGACTTGGATTTCAGTGCAGGGGTGACGTGATTTCTGAAAATAGTCAATTGCTTCTGTCTTCTCCAGGTTTTGTTTGTATTCTCCATGAGGCCCTATAAACAATATTAAGCTTGGTAGCCAAGCATTTCATCCATCTCACCTGCAATGTCTTTTTTACCTTGACAATCAATGTATTTGATTTAAACAGAATCATAAAATCATTTAGATAACTTTAACTTCAGTATTGGTTAGGAGATTTGTCAAGTTAATTTTTGGGCTTCTACATGTTGAATAATATTTGTAGACTTTTTTTTGTTGTTTTTTCCATTTATTCTGTATACCTTTGGTAAGTATATACTTAACCAGCTCTTAAAATTAGAGGCTATCTTTCCAGTTAAATTTTATTTGTGTTGTTTTTAAGATTTCAAATTTTTGTTAAGGTTTTACCTTTTTAGAGGGAAAAGCAGAATTTTTTAGATGATATAACTGAAATGTAAATGAATCCTGGGTTGAAATTGCAGAAATGCTGTGATACTGTCTTACCAACATTGTATTCCATTGTAGGAGGGAGAGTACATCTAAACCAGAAACATGACAGAGCTCATATTTCAAGAGTAAAACATTTTGGCAAAAATTAAAATTCTCAATAAGCATAGCTGATGGTAAAAGGGGGTTTCCATTTTAAGGAAGGTAAAATGAGCTTCAAAGAACTTCTCATCCTGTCAGAATTGGATGAGCTTTCTGTTAATATTACATAATGAACTTTAAACTATTAATTGAGAAAAGAATGCTTTATTGAATTCTGATTCCAAACCTCCAAAATTCCCAAGATTTCAGTTCACATGATGAGGTGGATGAATTAATTTACTATCATATAAATATAATCTATATAATTGATTTTCTGTAGGCCAGTATCCTTAAATGTGCTTTTTGGTACTAAAAGGAATAAAACATGCTATTATGTAATTTTTAAAAGCAAGAATCAGTTTTCCAAGCAACCACTTTTTGGGATTCAACATATGTATTATGGTGGAAAAAGCATTGGAGTTGTGATCAGACCAGAAGAGCGAGCTTGATCCCTAATTCTGCCACTTCTTAGCTATTTGTCTTAAGTAGTTGACTTTCTCACTCCAGCTATATTTTGTTTTACCAAACCAAAAAATCCAAACTCACTGCCATGGAGTCGGATCCAACTCATAGCAACCTCTCCTTGGGTTTCCAAGGCAGTATCGCTATGGAAGTAGATTGCCTAACCTTCCTCCCGAGGAACGGCTGGTGGGTTTGAACCACTAGCCTTCTGGTTAGCAGTCAAATGCCTTAGGCACTATGCTATGTGTTGTTAGGAGCCATCAAGTCTGCTCCAACTCATTGCGACCTTATGTACAACAGAGCAAAACACTCTGAAGTCCTGTGCCAGCCTCACAATCCTTGCTATACTTCAGCACATTGTTGCAGCCACTGTGTCAATCCATCTCCTTGAAGGCCTTCCACTTTTTTGCTGACTCTCCACTTAACCAACCATGATATCCTTCTCCAGGGAGTGGTCCCTTCTGACAACATGACCAAAGTAAGTGAGACGAAGTCTGGCCATTCTTACTTCCAAGAAGCGTTCTGACTGCACTTCTTCTAGGACAGATTTGATAGTTCTTCAGGCAGTCTGTGGTGCTTTCGGTATTCTTTGCCACCACCACAACTCCGAGGTATTAACTCTTCTTTGGTCTTCCTTATTCATTGTCTAGCTTTCACATGCATATGAGGCTATTGAAAACACCAGTGGCTTGGGTTATGCGCACCTTAGTCTTCAAGGAGACATGTTTGCTCTTCAGCAGTTTAAACAGGTCATTTGCAGCAGAGTTGCCCAATGCAGTTTCTTGACTGCTATTTCCATTGGTGTTGATTGGGGCACTAACTAATATGAAATCTTTGACAACTTCAATCTTTTCTCCACTTACCGTGATGCTGTTTATTGGTCCAATTGGGAGGATTTTTGT